GCGCAACACTTCAGGCTGTCAGGTCGTTTCGTTGGGCAACTTGACATAGAACGGTACATTCTCGCATGATCTTCGATCTTAAGACTTCTGACCGTACTCTGCCTTATATTTATCTTGCTTAGTCTCGAAACAGAGCCTCTGGTCAGGAAATAGATGATCCAGCCGTGTCCCAATCCTCATTTCGAATATCAACTCGCCTGGGCGCTCCCCAGTAGTTTTGTTTGGTCTGGTGCGGTAGTCAAAAATAAATTTGGCCAACTTTGTTCACAGTGGCGCGGACGCTTGATTGCGGAAGCCGTTTTTGCCAGATTGGACGACTTTTTCTGCAAATCTGCTCAAAGCTGGGTGGTAGGCGGCTGCTTTCACGTGGCTTGCCGTTGCTTTTGCGGAACACTGTGAAATGCATGATCAGTAAAAACGTAGTAGTTTTCTGTTACCTGCAGATATGGTATAGCAAAGGTACAGAAACGCATTTGCGTGCAAGAAACCGTCGTCTTAGAGGTGGGATGTGCAAGTGGAACAAGTTCTACCCTTTCCGAGTAAGCATCGATCAAGCGGATTATCCTTTTCCTACCCACCGCGTCAATGAAGTCTGTGTGTAAGCGTACCCAAGATTGCTGGGCATTTTCACGTAATAAGTGGTCTTATAGTAGCGTTCTCGTGAGTGCTTTGACACAGGTCGCAGTGTCGGTTCAACTCTTTAATATCTCTGTCCATATTAGACCACCACACATAGGATCGCGCAAGTGATTTCATCCTCGTGTTTCCTGGGTGCATTTCGTACTTTACTTGTAAGATATTCTGTCGCCACCGTGGTGGTATGATCACTCCAATTCCCCAAAGCAGATATCCAGCTTTGAGACTAAGCTGTGTGCATCCGATACAGTAAGGCATTAGTTTGCAGTTCGCAGCTGACATTTCATTCTTGGATGACTAGATGCTTGACTTTGGTCGGTAAAACATCCCGTTCAGTCTCCTTATGGACATCTGCTTTTGACACCGGATTTTCGTCCAAATCTTGCAGCAGGAGAACGAGCTCCACGTGTTTAAGTACGCAATTTGGTAGGTGATTCAACCTTAAATGACTCAGAAAGTCCGCTATTCTGGTTGCCTTCTCAGGGACATAAATTATCGCGCAATTGTAATCAGGGATCAATAGAACCTTACGTTTCATACGAGTAGACGTCATCTGCTTTATGCTTTTTTTCCTAACCAATCAAGGTTAACAGAGTATTCTGGTCGGTACAATTTTAAAATTTCCTTACCCACAGATACTGGTGGGATTGCTTGAGTATAAAGATGACCGCAAAGCCTTTTCGTCGAGTTGCACATAGTTCTCTTCAGCTGGTGCGATACATCGGAACGCAAAAACTATTGGTCGCTTGGTCATGTCTTCCATTTGGTGAGATAATACGGCCCCGCGTCCTGTAGCTGACGCATCGCAACAAATAGGGATCAAGTAATTTGGATCAAAATACACGAACAAGTTAGCATTACGGATAGCCAATCTGACAGCATCGTACCTTTTTCCTTGTTCATTTGACCAAATCCACCTGGTATGCTTGCAATTCAAAGTATCCAATGATGCGATAGGATTCGCCAAATTGGCAAGGAACGACTGTAATAGGTTACCATTCCGAAATGACTGCAGTTCTTTACTATTTCGGATGTTGAAGGATCCTGTATGGGTTGCATATTTTCCCGCATGGGAGGTAATTCGTGTTTGTCCAACCGAAACTCCAGATACTCAACGGTATCACAAAAAGGACACATTTAGATTCCTTGAATTGCAAACCGCTCTTCTAAAGGCATTTCAAGACTGTTGCACGCGCTGTCATATGGTTGTATTCGGTACGATTAGTAACCAAAACATCGTTCTAGTAAGCGCGAAATCCAGCGATGCCTTTCACTGTGTTAGATATTTCTATGGAAAATAGCAGACACGGAGTGTATCCCGAAGTGCAAGCGGATATAGCAGAACAATTCCATGTGTGTTTTGATGGTGGTAATTTCCTTTGAGGATTTCTGTAGCTCTACTTGAGAATAAGCGTGGCTTAGATCATGTTTTGGAATCTTCTGTCCATCCGACAAAGTCGCGTAAGAGTCTTCCGTTCGTTGAATCGGATAATGTTCCGTCGTCGTCGCTTTATTTGCCGTCAGTTTACAGTCGCCGCTAAAAGTGAGCTATCAGACCTCTGTACAGAAACGACAGATGCAGTCCAGGAAGAGTGGCGTACGGGTGAACTTATTCCGTCCTCTTATAAGCGCTCTAACTTTACATTCGGACGGGTTGCGAGAGGTAGAGTTTGTACCTTCCAAATATCGGTTGAGTCGGTGGCTTGACATGCAAGTAAGCTTTGAAATCACGTAATATCCCAGGTATGTTTGTATTTACGACACTAACAGAAAGTTTCAATAACATAGGTAAGAAAGAAATACTGCCCAACTTCTTTACAGATTGTAATACCTCCTCTTAAGTAGGTTCGTGTCATCTGCGTTAGCCTCAATTAGAGTAAGCGTATTGTCCCCATTATTTACTCTCACGTCACACCTGCCCAAATTTTTGAATATTTCCCCAGCTTATTTTCCTTAGTTTAACTTAAACTGAGTCGGATTGGGAACCAGGTCGGGCAAAGTCCAGTTTTTGATCAATGTAACCGAAGCCTTGGTGTTGATCACCGGACGTAGTGGCTGACCTTCATTGTTTAAATAAACAGTATATAGATATTCCCATTGCGTGCGATGTGGCTGTGTGCAAAATTAGATAGCATATTGGATCGTCAGCGTTTTCCACGTTTCGAATAATACTCTGGGCAGAGCGGGATATCCGTTTTTGAACCACAATTGAACGGCATACGCGTGTGATATGTCCTAACGTTCTGCACCTGTGACAAGTAAACTCTTTGTGTCTGTTACCAGTAACCGTCCCATGCTTCTGGCCGCATCGTTAGCACGGAAAGAAACATTTGTTTATGGGTACTAGTCGAGGTTTAACCGAATGCCTGACATCTAAACGAGAATTGCTTTGAGAATGACTTAATTGTTGCAACACGCTTTCTCTTTGTTTGACCAGTGTGCAAGTTGATTCCCAGGTGAGTTTATTCTCGTCTTCTGACAGAAGACGTACTTTAGCTTTCTGGTCTCGAAGCCCACTCAAAAGGCATTACACTGCAATTGTTCCTTCGGATTTCTTTGCGGGAGTTTTATTTCGACGGCACTCAGGAAGTGGCTGTTGTATACTACTGATGGATTCATTAACACACTTACCTTCTCCCTGTCTTAATAGAAAAGCTAGGCCCGCCATAAAAACATGTTGACGCAATCCCCAAAAGCCCTCCATGGCCTTAAAGCAACCGCTCAGGGCTGTGTTTTGTACAAACCTAATGCATCAACTTACTGCTGACCATCCGCCCCGAAGTGCTGTCTCAGTAGTTTGATACATTGGGTTGCACTAAGTTTGGTGGGAGGGCGCGTGCTTGAGAAAAGTTCAAAGTAATCCCAGAAAGTTCGTTTTAATCGATTCCAAACTGCCAAGGATGGATTGGATGACGTGTCCTTCCAAAAGGGATCAGGCGGGGCAAGATGGCTGATAGTAAATTATTCCATGTTTAACCTTCGTCGCCAAATGTCACCGATTAGCAATTGAGGAACTGACACTCGTAGACAGACTCTTATCCGGAGTATGGCAAAACAAAAGACGGGCACATGGAAGGCAAAACTGTATTCTAACCGGCATGTTTTACTACGCATCGATCCACTATTCTTAATTAGGTTAATCGACGAGTGGGTGAGCGGGTTACTGACACACACCAGCAGATGCAGGCAACACATAGGAAGGGCTGAATACATTGGCCGTGAGGATGCCACAGAGGTTTTGTAGCGGGCATTAATAAACCTTTTAAGATAGGCCATCATTTCTTTGCACTATGGAAATAAGGCACATTTACTAGCCATATTCACCCAGCTGGCAATTCTGGCTCCTCCACGGAACCAGTCAATTTCACAGCAGCTGCGCGAATGCAAAGTCGAACATAGATACGCTGAGAAGAATAACGTTTGAAGAGTTGATAACAAACGAATTTGTGCATGCATGGAATAGGTTGCACCTATGATTAGGCGCCATTTTCGTTATAGATGGGATGTCCAGCCGCGCTTATCCAATGCGGCTACGTACATGTTTATCAGCCCGTCCCGTAACCTTTAGCAGCCTCTTTGATGCATGACTGAAAACGCGCACGGCAACCAGTGTTAACTATTGCCTGGTTCTCTTGATAGGTCCAGACAGTTATCTGTCTGTGACTGAATTGCATTTCCAAGCACAGCGACTACTTTAAACCAAAGTTCAAAGAGGGGAATGAAACTTTCTATCCGCGAGTAAAACAAAGTTATTATTCCCACAAATGAAATGAGCCATTTGCTAAAATGTGTGTCATTAAAATGTTTTATAATATTCCCTTTGTGATCTTAAATTTAATCAAGCTAGCATACTATCATGCAGTCCTACTGCGTGCTACCAATTCCGATTTGAAGTAAATTCTATGTGCATTCACAAGCTTAGACTTCTAGACTTTTTCAAACATTCAGTAACGGATCTGTTTTATGATGAATCTTGTTATGTCTCAAGTGATTTTGTGTGTGAGCGACACGCACTGAATTCACTGCTTTTATTTTTCGAGCAGACCATAAACGATGGCTGAATCCTCCGAGGACAACTCTTGAAGGGACCTGACCCAAAGCTCTACTGTGTGCTGATATACTAGAGTAGAGCGCATTTATCATATGATACGCGTGGCTGATGAGATTAATGCTTGAAGAAATATATGCAAACCATCTAGAATCTTTGGAGTATCTAAGTGAGAAAGTTTAAGTGCAATGCCTTCTGCGTTATTTTATGTATAAGCAACGGCTGTATTGTGTGACATATTTCCTCAGGATGGATAAATTCAAGTGATACAATCCTCAAAAACTAGTGGTAAGTTTGAAAATACGTATTGACTCACCGGGCTTCTTGATGGGTAGATTGCCGATACTAATTTGACTGAACATTGACCAAAATAAACTGTACAGTGTTTGTCGAAGCCTTAAATAGAAAAACAACTTCATTCATACAATTGTTTTTCTTATGGCATTGTTTCAAGGAATACATAGTATATTTTCTAAGCTATCAGCAGCATGGCACACACTAGCCTGATATATGCAAACCAGATGATGTAATTGTAAAATTGCGTACTAAGACAAATAAAGGTAGGCACTTATATATCGTGGATAAACAATTAGCAGAAAGTGTCTTTCATTATCTTAAAACCGAATGTTCGTCTAAGCTCGCTGTAAGTGAATTAATCATGCGTTACCGGGTGAGTGCATTTAGCGCAGCAGCGAAAGGCTCAATTTTTAATAGCAGAGCAGTATTCTCCGAACCATTTCTAATACATAGTTTTAATGCGCTACTCTTAAGCATTTGGGTAATGAAAGGTAAATAAATTTCAGGTTCACAAAATAAGCCCTGTTTATATCAACATGCTGAAATTTTGGCATCTGACATACCGTATACTCACATAATTTGACAGCTGTAAGGAAAGATATTTTTACTTAATAACACGCCTGTTGATAGAACAAACCTCTCAACTTTAAAAGTATTTGATACTAAGTAAAACTACCCTAACTTAAAATAACATATATGCTATTAAATAACTACTGCTGTGTTAAACTTCCTTTCACTTCCTTTCTTCATGCATTCGTATTATTACCTTAGTTCAAGTAAACTTCCTTATTCTGTACCTTAGACTTCTCTTCTCATCCTTCGCTTATTTCAGATGACTACCACAGCAGCGACTGCTAGAGCAAGAAACGTGAACATTAATTGGTTGATCAGGGTGTGATAAGGGTGTTCCTTTTAAATGCAGAAATAAATCTGATCACTTCATCCATTCTTGGCTCAGCGATCCATTCCAGATGGAGTACTCACGGGATGCTCTTATCTTTCCAGTTCCACCCGAACTTGAACTTGAATTAAATTTTCATATAACTAAGCAGCGTAGCGGTAATATAAGTAGAAAAGTTGCCAGAAAATAACTGGCCGAATTTTTATACCTTAATACAGGCCATTTTGTTAATATGCTTGTAGTTGTATTTGTACCTAATGAAACTTAACATGCATTTGAATGATTTTGTACAAAGAAAATAGTTGTGCTTTATTCTTCGTTATTTTAAGACCAGTTTGGAAGATAGGAGTGCTTAATTTACCCCATCGAAAAATTCGCATCAGATTATGAGCGAGTTGTCATTGAATCTTTGATGTTGATTGCAAACATCCTACAAACTCGTTATTTTGTGCTTACAACAGTTCCGATTTATGCCAGGGGTGAATTTTACTTCAACTTATTGGCCACAGGTGAGCTTTCTGTCTACTAGGTCAATTATCAACACAGTTTCATTTGCTGTCTCATATTCACTCGGTTAAATATTTATTTCCTCTAGTTCTAATTTGAAGAGGCCGTCCATGGCTGCGAGACGTATGTTAACTTTGAAACTGGACCGTTTGGAAAACCTAGATCTAGTCTCACACCTCATGTGTTACTTGGTCAATAGTACTAGGGTGGTCAACGACCGACCATGGTTTCTGAATTTAACCAAGTGTAACTACCTAGTGCTGTTTTGGAACCGCACAATTGACGACAATAATTTGTAGATTATCCGACTTTCTATTTCAGATTTTAACCATAATGATCACGTAATCCCTCCAACTGTGATAGAGCTTTGCTATCCAGATGCGACTTACTATGGTAAGTAAGTAAATTACAGGATTTCCTCCTGCTGGATTAAAGCAAGCAGCCACAGCACGGTAGTTAGAAAAAACCCAAGCCTTATCAAGGTTACTGGCTGAGATAGTGCTAGACTGACTCTATGCACCCCTGCTATATTCGCCACACGTGCAAACTTAGTGACTACAGAGGAAGAGAATTGTCGGCATCAGCCATCACTTTGCCGTAGGTTAAACGTACTAATGAATTGTGTGCAGTTTTCGTGCAAGTGGTTAATTTGTTCCCGGTTGCCACAACTAAGCAGCGACTCTAAATCTTGTGAACATTTAGCTGCCAGCCTAATACTATAATGTCCAGAAACCTAGAGAAAGCATCAAGGGTATGCATTTAAATAACTGGCTTTCATCAGAAAAATAAGTCGTTTACTGCTCAGAAACCTTGTTTGTCAGGTCCCGCTAGACGGAATTTGGAGTTTGTTGGTTGACTAAAAGATATGCAAGAAAGTTTAAGGAACTCTGAAGTAGTTGTATACAGCTCAGGCCCATCGTAATTACACTTCCATGAAAGACTAAGTAGCAGTTATGGCATTTTGTGTAAATGGGAAAATGATCAACTCTTAGCATTCATCGGTTTGAAGGTTGAACACAATTACAGAAAAGGGGTGCAAAATGAACTTTTAGTTATGTCTGTATGCCAAATTGGTTCACATATCGTCCATATCTAGTTGGGGATTGCAGACTTAGTGCAGGGTTTTTGCTAGCTTATCTATGACACGTTCCACTTAACTGCGACCACAGTAAACTAACCAACCAACCGAGTTGCGGTTCTAACAGAATCTTGGCTCAGTTTAAATTTGCGGGTAGTACTGCATCTACACAAAGTGGACCCAAACATGAGACAACGATGCTGAAGCGCATCTTGATGAATCCGCTGCGCCATATTCGCTCATTGAGTCAACAGGTCCCAATATAAAATTTGGTGCCTCACGTCGTGCGTTGATTCAAACATTTTACGAATACCGTAGCAAAATGAGGGCAATTGAGCTAAGGAAAGCATTCTTGCTCAAAGGACTACATCGGTGATCTTGTTTGTTGCCTAATATCCGCTCCGTTCGACACTATGTGGCGCAGTGTGGAGACCAAGCTAACTGAGCTACTGTACAATGTTGTTGATATCATGAAAGCAACATACTTGTTTAGGCATTATTATGACATCAGCTCACTTGTGAGTTGCGATTAGTTCTAGGAAATAACTGAAGCGCTTTCATGTGACCTCATATACTAATTTTAAGTGATTGCCTATTGATGAAACAAATGAATAGATCAACCACTGGCGCAACACATACTAACTCTACTTTGCGCCTAGTTTTCACAAAAATATTTCTTGCCTAAAGGAATTAATTAATGTTGGAAACTGGAAATTCCAATAGCATAATGCCATAATTAGGTAAACAAAATCGCATCATTATTATTGTGCCAAATATGTAGCGTTGTATCTTCTCGTTAACGCTTAAACCACCCGAATAATTTGGAATGAGTTCACCCAATATTTAAGTTAAATACAAATATTGCACACTAACACCACCAATTTTACTACCTTAAGTTTTATGTAGGATTGTATGTACATGCCGAATCAATAAATATTTTGTACGGAAGGGAGGTTTCAATTTTCCGCGGTCCCTAATATAAGCCTATTAACACAATGAGACACTTCTAAATAACAGTCAACATTTGCATCGATAAACATAGTCACTTGAAGCATTTCTATCCATAGAAACATGTCTACACAATGTACTTCAGGACCACATTTTTATAACATGCCAGCTCCCTTTACGAATTGGGACATGAATGAATTACAACCAAAGTATAGCATTTGGTTTGTAGTCACGCTTACTCAAAGTGGGGAACAAACTGCGCGGAATCAGATCAATTCTCTTAAAGTAACCTCCGATCCACACCATGGATACGACGTGTGCGAAGTCACCGGTCCTAGTAGTAATTCGTTATTTAGTTGTCTGGCTGTGGTGTACAGTAATACGCCATGGTTATAAAATATATTTCCATAGAAAAGTACTCCATTCTTTCTTAGTCATGCTCAACATGTTTGATCCCCGAAATGGATGGAATGATTTTATTTTATATTACAGACGGACGCCAGTGGATCGAAGGTCCTGTACTGGATTCCATATATGCAAAAAATAAAGAAATCAATTCTTGAAGTTAATTAAGTTTAAGTGTTAATGATTGACCTTATTCCAACTCAGGATGAATCACAGGGATTTATAAGTGCGCTTAATGATACATGTATCGGGTGCAAAGCAAGTGAAGCTTTAGATCTATTTATTACACTTAAAGTGTTAAAAATCTAACAGAAACATTGGAACCGCCGTGCGAACTAAAATATTACAACGTAAATATCCGTATATTAATAGCTTAGAGATAACAATGTTGTATTTTTGAGAAGTTTCATCAGACAGCTTGCTTTAACTTATGCTTGAATTGTCAGTAAGCTATTGAAATCTGGACAGCGATTGGATAAATTTACTCGAACTGACTAAGCACATTCCTTTGACTCTTAACTTCAGTAACTCATGTAGACAATGTCGCGACAAAGCATCTGATAACTTCAGGAAACAGATTTAGAGTAGCCGATAGGTTAACATGTTTCCTCATCTATCGCCCGCGTGCAGTGTGGATGAATTCCCGTTACCAAAAGACAAGTTGCTGGATCGCACAAGCCTGTTGTTTTCATTGTTCCGGTTCTGTACATAGGAATCGTGTTCTAGGCATCCAGCAGTATCGTTTCGGTGCACAGTAGATGAATGTAAAGGCGTCTTTTGTCCGCATGTGACCTAGTGTTTAATGATGCAGTTTCTAACGCTTCTAACTTTGCCTTACCGAGCTGATCCCTGGGTAGACTTTGATGTTCGTGTCGCGAAAGACTCGCCAATTTAACCAAAGCAAATTAAACTACAGGCACGGGTAGATCGATTTAAAGTATATAACTCAAGCTGCATGGGGAGTCTGTTTTTATCCAATGGAACGAAAAACAACATGTAATATATGCATACGTAATAAAAGAAAGTCTCTTAAAACTAAACTACACCCTAAGCAGATAAAATACGTCTACTATAAACAACCTTTCAGTATGAATATTTCGGCGGCCCACCAATACCAGCAAATCATGTTGCGGGTTAAATGAAATGTGGACACTAGTAGGTGCTCCACGGGCAAAGTTGATATAACCTGATAACATGGGTCAAAAATGTTGAAGCCCAATAAGGGAAACATAATTACTTTGATTCGTGATGTACAGGAGC